TATCTAAACTATCACTATACCCTACCACATCAGCACAGTTATGCTCACCAACCAGTGCCCTACCAAAAAGCTGTAAGAGCTTGTTAGTAGCAAGCATCTAAGTGTTTTTAGGCAAACACAAATACATATAATAAACCTGGATGTAGAAACTTTGAATATAAATCTGAGCATAGCAACTTCCTTGGGTTTTGAACTTTTCTAGGATTTTGGTCTAAATTTTAGATTTAGTGTCAACAATGAAACTGTCTGGTTGCAAAGAATCTGTTATGTGGCCCTTTGAAGAATATTTGACAACCATTAATTTTAGATAGGTGTGAAATTGTATGCTTTTCCCAAGTAGGGTTTTTCCCTCCTAGCATTCACTTTTTTGTTGTTGTTGTTAGGAAATGAAGTACACCAAAGCATTATTGTTTTAAAGAGGACTTTTAAAAAAATTATCCAAGCTTTATGAAGGTGAAAATGCCCAGACTTTGTATTTTTAGAATTTTGGCTTTGGGAGTTTCAGAACAAAACTCTGTTATCTTTTATAATTTGAATGGGACAGCCTTGAAAAAATATGTACACATTTATATAAAGCCTAAGTCAGTGTCCACTTTTTTTTCTTCTGGGCCTTTTTTTTTATCCTCACCCAAGGATATTTTTTTCCCATTTTTTTTTTTGTTTGTTTGTTTTTTAGAGGGAGTGGAGGTGGGGAGAGAGAAAGAGAAACACCGATAGGTTGCCTCCCGCACGCACCCAACTGGGCCAGGGTTCGAGCCTGCAACCCAGGTACAGTGTCCTTGGATGGGAATCGAACCCGAGACCCTTTGGTCCGACGCTCTTACTACTGAGCAAAACCGGCTAGGGCTGGGTCAATGACTTCTTATCAAGTGCCTTCAACTTCTACTCTAGTTAGTTAGCATCAGTAAATGCTATGCCCAGTTGAGCTTTCACATTCTAATGGATATGGGGGAAAACTCAAGTGACTCAAGAGTGATTGGAAAAGTGGTTACAATGTTCGAAATGGAATGTCTGAGCAGGAATTATTTCACCTCTTAAAGAGAAGGCAAGGGGTAAGAACAGTGCTTCTGCTAGTTGCTTGGAGGGGCTTTGTCTCTTTTCCTGTTGCTGGGAAGGATTTCTAGGGATAGTGAGAACATGGGATTTGGAGTCAGATCTGGGTTTGAGTTTCTGTTCTGCTATTCGCTATGTCACCTCAAACAGATATATTTATTTAATCTTTAAACAAATATTTATGTCAAAGGTGCTAAGGGGACAGTCGTTTATTAGGAGTTAATAAATCTGTTTCTTCCATAAATTGCAACTAATAAATAGCACCTCCCTCTTTGGGTTTTTGTTGAGCACTCAGCAACATACACTGTTCACGCTGTACTCAAATTAATAGCCCAAAAATGAATATGATGCAGGCCCTGCCCTTCTTTATTTGAGAGACTTTCAGGAACTCAGATGTAAAACTAACCAACTGCACTATGATTTGATAAGTGCTATAATAGTGAGAACAAAGTGGTCCCCAGGGAACAGAGGAGGAAGAAATAAATTCATGGGGAGTCTAGAGAGAGTTGAAGGCTTCTAAGGAGCTAACATTAAGGTTGAGGATGTTCAACCTACAAGAAAACAAGAGTGTTTAAGAGGGACATTTTAGGCAGGAGAAACAACATGAGGTGTGGGTGTTTACGAAATGTTCAAGAGATTCAGCATGGCCACAAACGCATAGTGCTGAGTTGTTCCTTCTTAAAACCCTCCGAGGGATGCTTGCTACAGTGTCCTGTGCATCATTTGGCATATAGAGCATTTATTTTTCTTGATTGGTCAAGAACTGTTAAAGTACATGCATCTTTTTATTTCTCATGGAGAAACTTAAAACATAAAGGAGTTTTCAACTTGCTTACCCAAATTTACTGTGCCCAGTTGTGGGATTATAAACAACTCTCCTAATTTGTTCACAGTGCATTTAATCATGACAAATAGAAAATGGATGATTTGGGACAAAGAGATGAGTAGTGAGATTGAGCTGCTTTGTAAAAGAGGTAACACTTGAGCTAAGATTTAAACTTGCAGTGGTTCTCAACCTGTGGGTCGCGACCATCGGAAAACACATATAGCATATCAGATATTTGCATTACGATTCATAACAGTAGCAAAATTACAGTTATGAAGTAGCAACGAAAATAATTTTATGGTTGGGGGTCACCACAACATGAGGAACTGTATTAAACCGATGGTCGGGAACCACAGGTTGAGAACCACTGGCTTAAAGGAATGAAGGTTAAGACTTAGGCAAGTAGAGAGGAACTAGTAAAAGTAGAAATGAGACCCTGGCTGGTTAGCTCAGTGGGTTAGAGTGTCGTCCCAGTATGCCAAATTGTGGGTTCGATCTCTGGTTAGGGCACATACAAGCAATCAATGAATGCATAAGTAAGTGGAATAACAAATCAATGTCTCTCTCCCTCTCAAATCAATTTAAAAAAATAGTAGAAGTGAGTGGTATATTTGGGGACAATGCCTAGATTTAGTGAGCACAGGTTTTTTGGAAGGTCATTCATCTCTTTTGGAAGTGGTTAAGAAAGGTGAATTCAGTTTGAAATACATATCTGTATCTGTATGATTACAGGTAAATAAATATGTGCAGAAAGCAGCTGGTTGTCTGACTTTGGAATTCGTGGGAGGTACTAGCCAAACACAAACTTGAGAATTATCAACATACACGTTGGTTTTAAAATCAATGTACATGAGAGTCATGAACTATGCAAGAGAGAGAAAGTAGAGGCAAGTGTCAGGCTGAGGTTTGTAAGAGTGGGAAAAGAGGAACCAATGAAGGAGACTGAGAGGAAACAGAAATAGGAAGAGAACCAACAGAGAAAGACTTATCTCAGGACCAAGAGTTTTATAGAGCAAAGAACGGTCAGCAGTCTTACCATTGCAGTGAGGTCAAGTGAGGTATTCTGCCATTGATCTGGCTCCTGGAAGGTGACCTCAGTCAGAAGCAGTGGACCAGAACACACTGATAATTTGAGGAACCCCTGGGATATGATCAGGGGAAAGCCCTCAGTATGGATTACTCATTCTAGAAGTGCTCTGAAGGGAAAGAGAGCTGTTAGTCAGTAGCTCGGGGAACTTCCTAACAGGTAGTCTTTGCAATGAGCAATTAACGACAGGCAAGGCTTAACCTATGGCATTAAAGACCAGGGCATGGGTGGGGGTGGGGATGGGGGGGCAATGGGGTGATAAGGACACATGTAATACCTTAATCAGTAAAGAGAAAAAAGAAAATTAAATAAAAAGACCAAGTGATGGTGTGAACAGCAGCTCAAATGTGATGAAATGCAGGGCAGGTTTAAGAAAAGCAAGTGGACTGTTGGGGCAAAATGTGGAATTTGCATAAGATGGAACGGGAAAAGAGGTTGGCATAAGGCCAAAAGCCTTGACAAGGCTGATGACTATATTATTTGAGGTCACATGATCAAAGCTGTATCTGAAACAAAAGCAAGACTAAACCCAAGATCTTTTGACTACCAACCCCTCTCTGTGGCAGCGTACAGCATAGTCTTGACACTGGTCTAGTCAATAATGATGAACACTTGCATAGCACTTCACCATTACAAACTGCTTTCGCCTTCATTATCTGATCTGATCCTCACAGTAACTCTGCAGCAGGCTCTCCAGTGTGTGTTACTTCTATTTACATATGAAAACAAGAAAACCTGTGTCCTGGATTACTTTCTCCAGGCTCTGTCTGAGGGAGGAAGTGATTTCTAGGGAGTTGCAGCTTAGATTTCCTGACAAGCAGGTGTGACAGGGAGCGTAGTGTGCAGGAGGTTTCTAGGGAGAGTTCTAGGAATCAGTGCCTGGGAAGGGAAGAGAAGGGAAGGCAGCAGAAATGGACAGAGGAAGAGGCAGATCTGGAACACAGTTTCAGGGGAAGTCTGAGTTTACCCTAGGGGAGTTCTGGGATGACCCCTGGAGTAGGGCAAGGGGGCCTGACTTTTACATGTCAGGCCTCCCGGGGAGGGGGCGATCCCAGATGAGTCAGCCCTCTTAGGCCCACCAAGGCATTCCAGTTAAGGGCTTCCTGTTGGTATCATTTCCAGCAGCGGCGGGGAATGATTCATTCCTGAAGAGGTCTGATTGCATCCAAGCATCTACCCACACCGCTGGGCAGCCTTGCTGGAAAGCCTTGGAGATAGAGACTTTAGTCTGAACTCCTTATCTTATGGACCAGGAAACTTGGTCCCAGACAGAATGAGCAATTTGTTCAGTATCAAAAAGATACGGAGCTGAGATAAAAACCAGGTTTCCAAATTCTTGTTTCAATCCCCTTTTCACTGCCTCGTACAGTGTCAGGATTGCAGGATAAACAGGCGGATGGAGCAGGGTCGACTAGATAGCAGTCGACTTTCTACCCACCTGCTGAGACCTTGAAAAACAATTTGCTAGACATTTTTTTTTTCTTTTGATATAGAGGTGTGATACAATCACAACATATCAGGTAACCTAACTCTCCCCCTACTTTAAGTACAGATGGTCCCTTCTTAAGATGGTTAAACTTACAATTATTCAACTTCATGGTGGTGTGAAAGTGATACGCATTTGGTAGAAATCATACTTTGAATTTAGAATTTTGCTCTTTCCCAAAATAGCGATATGCAGTAGGATAATTACTCATGATGCTGGCAGAGGTGTCGAGCAACAGCTCCCAGTCAGCCACACGGTCAAAGGGTAAACAACCCATACTCTACAGCAGTGGTTCTCAACCTTCTGGCCCTTTAAATACGGTTCCTCATGTTGTGACCCAACCATAAAATTATTTTCGTTGCTACTTCATAACTGTAATGTTGCTACTGTTATGAATCGTAATGTAAATATCTGATATGCAGGATGGTCTTAGGCGACCCCTGTGAAAGGGTCGTTTGACTGCCAAAGGGGTCTCGACCCACAGGTTGAGAACCGCTGCTCTACAGTGTACTACGTTGCCAGTGTTTTTGGATCTTGTGCTCTGTGTTTTCGCATCCCATCACGTCTACAAAACGCCCATCTGGGTCTCCTGCTTCTGGTGAGAAGAAGAGGAAGGCCATTGCAGGTGCTCCTCGACTTATAATGGGGTTACATCCCTATAATGTAGGTGTTCGGAGCACATTTAAGGTAGGGTAGGCTAAGCTATGAGTGTCAGTAGGTTAGGTATAGTAAATGCATTTTCAGCTTATGATATTTTCAACTTACGATTGGCTGATCAGGACATGACTTCCTAAGTCGAGGTGCATCTGTAATACTTAAACTGTAGCGAAAAGATATCAAAGTGTTGGAGGAAATGATCTATCGGAATTGCTCCTTGGCAGAAAGAAGGAGGAACACATCGTTTCTGCGACTGCAGGTGCCGTGGAAGGTAGAGAAGGCAGGTGAATCTCTGTCTGGCTCAGTAAGCCTGGGCCACACCCTCTACTGTAGGGATACCTTTTTGAATAACCAGATAATCAAGGCACCGTGTTCTCTGTGCACTTGTACAGGGCAAGGCATTGTGCCAACAATCGTGAGGAATGAGACACGTACTTACTCCCTGACCTCCAGAAGTGCACAGTCTCGTGAATGAGACAAGACATTCACCCCGGAAGTTAAATCTATTAGCTCTGAGTGTCAGAATGAATGTTAATAAAGACTAGGAAAGAGGAAAAGACGGCAGCTAAGTTTTATTGCATGCTCACCATATGCCAGGAACTATTCTCATAACCCTGAGGTTGGTATTTTTACGAACTTCGTTTTCAGTTGCGAGAATGGAAGCCTGGTGAGGAGAAGGAACGTGCCCTCCCTCACACCAAGTAGCTGGCACTAGAGCCTGCATGCAGAACTGCTTCCCCATCGATACTGGCGGCCTGCTGGGTACTGTATGTTGGAGCTGTGAAAAAGACAGCTTCCTCCAGCGGGCACCCAGGACAAGCTTATTTCTAGAGGCAGAATTTCAGAAACTCCGGCTTTCAGTATGTCCTGCATACCAGTCCTGCATACCTTTCTACGGAATGAGGTTGTATGTAACCTCGAGCAAGTTGTTTAACCTCTCTGTGCCTCAGTTTCTTCAGCTGTAGACTGGAAAAATAATAGTACCCAGGTCACAGGATTAGAAGAGGTTACTATCCATAAAGTACATGAAACACGGTGTGGCACATGGTAAACCCTCAATACTTTCCCTGGTAGAAGACTTCATCAGGATTGCACACTTGTAGGAACTTGTTAAGAGATATCGGTAGAGAGGGGAGGAAGAGATCAACCAAAGAATATGTACGCATAGCCCGTGGACATAGTAATGTGGTGAAGGCCGGGGAGGGGCAGAGGTGGGGTGGAGAGAGGCAGAGGCAGAGGTGGGGTGGAGAGAGGCAGAGGAGGGGAATGGAAGACATCTGTAATAGAGTCAACAATAAAAATTTTAAAAAAGAAAAAGAGTTAAACAATAAAAAACAGAGAGAGAGAGAGAAGTCGGTAGATGCAGCGCCCCAGGCTGGATGCTTACTGCTGCTTGTGGCGGGAGAAACCTAGGCTCCCATCCCCACGCGCTTCCTTCCTGTTACAGGAGGACAGGACCACCATGGCTAGTGGGCAGCTTCTGCCAATTCAAGAACAAGAGTTGGCGTGCTAACACAGATTCCAGTTTCTCCCAGTCTTTTCCCTCTGCACATGTTGCTCGTTTATAAGAAAGCACTTTTTGTAAACCACTGTTCAGCCAAAATCCAAGCATACAGTAGCTATAGAGTGCTACCTGTACAGGAAAGGGAGTGACAAACATGTAACCACCCACCTTCATAATTGTATAAGGCGCTATTGCCTGGAGGTGAATTCTGCTATAATAAGAGCCGAATCTTTCTGTTTTTGAATGCCAAAAACTGGTTTTAGGGGAAAGAAATTTGTTTTAATTACTCGGTTGTTCCAAATGTGGGTTCTCTCTACTCAGTCCTTTTTTACAAGGGACATAATGGACCCATCATTAATCTCAAAGTGTGACCTGAGGGTAGGTTCTACTCCACAAACTATTACCAAGCTGGAAAAAATCAAGAACAACTTGAGAGGTAAGCACTTAGAAGTCTCTATAGCAATTTAATATCGCCCCCATGACACCTAAGCCTGTGATCAGTGGTCTCTTCTTATCGAACAGGCTGTAGGTCAGTTTGATTGGTAATCTCACATGGGGAGTCATATAGGGTGGGGGTGGCATACGAGTCCTTTGAAGTAAGACTGCTCTCTAGGTTCGTTTTACATGTGGCATTTTGTTGGATGCACTTATATCCGTTGGTCCTGCTAATTGTTACATTAGCACTGTTGAACACTGAACTACAAAAGCATTTGTTTTCTTCACCGGTTAGTGCAAACTTACAGTGTTTAAAAAACATGGCACTTCGGAGTATATGGACTCAATTCACATTTGCCCTTTTCATCCCCAACTATTACAAGCATCCACCAGTGATAGATACACTCATGACTTCTTTCACAGCGATGCCATGAAAAACACGCATAAAAGGAGTAGCAGATTATAATCAGTTTCCCGTTGGAGCTTCTCCTTGAGTTCCATGAATCCTCTGTCTGTTTTTATTAGTCCTATCCTACTATTTTTTCAGCCCTGAACATATGGTCTGGTTGTATTTTCATGGTGGGAACTAAACAGTTCTCTTAGCTGATAGCTGACCTGTCTCATTCTTGCTAAAAGGTCTCTTTTTTAAAATAGGAAAATATATTTGTTGATCGATCAAGGATGGCCCCGAAAACTCCAATAAAAAATGAACCAATTGATTTATCGAAGCAAAAAATCTTCACTCCAGAAAGAAACCCCATTACTCCAGTTAAGCTTGTGGACAGACAGCAGACAGAACCATGGACGCCCACAGCTAACCTGAAGATGCTCATTAGTGCTGCCAGCCCTGACATAAGAGATTGGGAGAAGAAAAAGGGACTGTTCAGACCCATTGAGAACAAGGATGAAGTGTTTACAGACTCTCTGCAGGTAAACAGGCTGTGTTCCTAGCAGCTTTGATAGAATTAAAATTTTTTACTTGGTTATTTAAAGAAATCATAGAATTCTCAATTTTTCAGCTAACTATTGAGCCAAAAGCAGTATTAAGCTTAATATCTTTTCTTTATATAGCTGAAATGGAATTCTCACTCTGTATCTCATTTTTCACAATGAACGCTTTCTTTTTCTTTTTTTAACAATTCTTTATTGTTAAAAGTATTACATATGTCTCCTTTCCCCCCATTGACTCCCTCTAGTCTGCCCCCGCCCCAGGCCTTCAGCACCCTATTGTCTGGACACAGGTAATAGGGAACACTTTTTTTTATAATACTCCCTTAACCAATACACATTTAAAAATCCATTTTTAAGCAATGATATTTAATAACTTTGATTTAATGGGGGAATTTGTGTTTTTATTATAAATGTTGCTGTGGATTTAATTTTGCTCCAATTTTAAGAATTTTTATTTTAATATATTTTTATTGTTTTCAGAAAGGGAGGGAGTAAGGGGGGGGGCAATCTGACCAGAATCAAAACATGACCCTCCACCCCCGAGTGCTCAACCACTGAGCCACACAGGCCAGGCAAGGATAATTTTAATCTAAATGTCTTTGACCTGGGAAATTTTATTATTCTCATGTATGTTCAGTTTGTTGGTTTGGGCTTTAAAGTTATTATTAAATTACATGTCCTGTGGTGAACCAGAGCTATTAAATAAGCTGCATATCTATACTTAAAAAGAAAATCAGTGGTCAATAATTTTCACTCTCCCATCAAACTTTTTCCCAGACTTGCTAAGAAAAGTTGCTCACAGATTGGAATGTTATTTCTCTTCCAGTTTTCTTCATTTTGGTGGATTTTTTAAAAATCTATAAAAATATAAATTAATAGTATTGTTCTGGTTTGGGGATTGGTTGGGAAGTAGAGTCATGGGTATTAAAGACATTACATACATGATAAGTGTATTTTATATGACCAACTATTCTAAAAAAAACAAAAAGAAAACCAATTTTTAAAAAGATATTTCTCAATATTTTTTAAGAATATAAAGGGATCCTGTGACCACAAAGTTTGAGAACTATTCTAGGGTATATACCTAACAGTGCAATTACTAGGTTATTGGATGTTCAATTACTCATAAGATCGTGCCAGATTGTTTTACCAAGAGCTGTTTGTTTCCACCAGTAACGTATAAACATATATTGATCCATATCCTCTCTGGCACTTGAAATTCTCAAATTTATTAATTTCTGCCAATCCAGTGGGTGTACAATTGTATATTACTGTGGTATCCATTTGCTTTTTCCTTGGTTACTAATGAGGTTAAGCTTTTTTCCATATCTTTACACTTGGAGTGCGGGAAACGAGTTAAGTCGGCTCGCGTGAATTGCGCGTACTCCGCGGGAGCCGTCTTTAACTCGGTTCATATAGATTTGCGGTGGAGTGCGGGAAACGTGTAAACTCGGGCCGATGGTAACTGCGTATTACCAAATATTTGTTTGTAATCCACCCTTTTGGTGGATGGAACAAAACCAAAAGACAGAGCCATCTTATATTTTGGCGGGAAATTCACCCGCACTCCAAGTGTTTACTAGCTACCATGTTTTCTCCTCTTCTGTGAAATACCTGTTTGTGTTCTTTGCTCATTTTTATTGATTTGTAGGGTTTATTATATATTCGTGAAACTAAACCTGTACCAGTTATACGTATTACATTTCAATTGGTGCTTGCCTTTTTTCTCTTTATGTTGCTTCTTATAATCACTTGTCCTTGTATCATATATTCAGTTCTTCCTCTTCCCTGGAGTTGGCAGTGCTACGCCTGTCACATATCATAGTTTCACTTGTGTGAGTATCTGTTTCTGGGCTCTTTTCTGTTCCATTGGCCAATTTGTCCGTCCCTCCACCAATACCATCCTATCTAATAAAAACCTAATATGCTAAGTGTCCGGTCATCTGGTCGACTGTTCAACCAATCAAAGCATAATATGCTAATGATATGCTAAGGATGCTCAACTGCTCACTATGACGTGCACTGACCACCAGGGGTCAGATGCTCTGAGCGGTAGGTTAGCTTGCTGCTGGGGTCCAGCCGATCAGGACTGAGCGAGACGGGCCCAACATGCCCTGGAGCCCTCCTGCGTCCCTCCCTGGCCCTGATCGTGCACCGTTGGGTTCCCTCGGCCTGGCTTGCGCCCTCTCGCACTCCAGGACCCCTCGGGGGATGTTGGAGAGCCGGTTTTGGCCTGACTGCAGAACGACTGGTCACTATGATGTGCACTGACCACCAGGGGGAAGACGCTCAACGCAGGAACTGCCCCTGGTGGTCAGTGCGCTCCCACAGGGGCAGCGCCACTCATCCAGAAGCCAGGCTCGTGGCTGGCGAGCGCAGTGGCGGTGGCAGTAGCCTCTCCCACCTCCACGGCAGCGCTAAGGATATCCACCTGCCGGCTTAGGCCCGCTCCCCACGAGCAGCAGGCCTAAGCCATCAGTCGGACATCCCCCGAGGGCTCCCGGACTGCGAGAGGGTGCAGGCCGGGCTGAGGGACCCCCCACCCCCGAGTGCACAAATTTCGTGCACTGTGCCTCTAGTGTTGTAATAAGCCTTCATATCAGGCAAAGCAGGAACCTCAATTTTTCCTTCAGAGTATGTGGACTATGCTTTGCCCTTTTTTTCTTCCATATGTACTTTAGATTGGATTTTAATTGTAATTGCATTGCATGTAGATTAATTTGAGAATTAATCTGTTTATGGTACTGAGTCGTCCTATCCACGAGTATATGTGTTTCTCTAAGTTTTAAGTCTGTTTCTTTAAAGATGCAAATTTTAATATTTTATACAAATAAATATTTGCTAGATTTTTTCCTAAAAGAGTTTTGTCTTTTCAGGAGCTTTCTAAATTCTCTTATTATTAATAATTTGTCAGTCTTATATTTTTCATGTAAACAATCATGTGTTCTGCAGAATGAAAGTTTTGCTTATTTATTCCTTCCCAATTCCTGTGCCTCAGTTTCTTTTTCTTGTCCTCATCCACTGGCTATCTCCAGTATGGTGCAGAAGAGGAGCATCCTTATCATGTCCCTGATTTTTAAAGGGGTAGTTCCAAGGTTTTCTCTTTAAGACTTGTTTTCAGTTGGGTTTTTATAGATACACTTTATTCAAGTTCTCTATTCCTAGTTGTCTAAGAGCATTTTTGAAAATCATGAATGGTTGTTAAATGTATTAAATGTTTTTTTCTGAAGCTATTGAGATCATCCTATTGCTTGAATATGTTCACTGAAAAACGTTTTATTTTCTTGGGTTGAATTCAGCCCTTTTGAAATGTGGGTTGATGAGAGAGGGACACTAGTTTTGTGTACTTGCAATAAGAATAAGATTTGTCTGCTCTGTTCACTTCCACCAACCCTTGGAAATTAGTAAACTTATAAAACAGTTTAATGACACAGTGGAGACCAGTGCGTCTTCAATTTCATGTCAATAGAAATCACCCGTGATCTTATGAAAAGACAGATTCTGATAGACCAGTTCTGGAATGAGGCCTGAGATTCTGCATCTCCAACAAGCTCTTAGTGATGCTTGTCTACAGTCCAACAAACACTCTGTCAGCAAGACTCTAGCAACCTATAAGTGACCGCACTATTCATTGTTTACGCTTTTAACCAGTACGCTCGGCCTCAAATTGCAAAGGACAAAAAATTCAGTCTAGAGAAGGTAATAGGTAGAATGCTAAGAAAATTAGGTTAGGACGTGTATTTTAACTAGACTCTAGGATGGGATGGGATGTCCCCCCAACTTGCCAGTACTGCCCATTGCAATTTCTCTGTTAGGATGTTAACCATGATGTCTCCTCCCTCCCTTCTGTCTGCCCTCTGTAGCTTCGTGTTGTGGGGGACGTTGCTGTGGAGAAATTTGAGAAACGCAGGCCGAGCAGAAAACAGAAAAGTTTAGGACTCCTGTGCCAGAAGTTTCTAGCTCGCTATCCAAGTTATCCCTTGTCAGCTGAGAAAACCACCATCTCCCTAGATGAAGTGGCTGTCAGTCTTGGTATGTATCGTCCGGTTACCCGGAGGTCTGTCTCCAGGTATAGTGGACGCTGGTTTCCCGGGGCAGGCCCTCCAAAAGGGTGAGGACAGGGGCCGGGAGAGCTTCCTTCCGCCGTGACCATTCAGCGTAGGATTGCAGCGGCCTTCTAGGCCTGAGGGTCAACAAGAATTTTGGTTTTCTTAAGCTTAAAAAACACTTTGACGAGACATTACAGAGCCCTATCTCCTATTTTAATTTCATCTTATTTCAGACAGACTAAAAAATGTTTGAAATATCCTGCTGTTTATTTTTACAATAACGCTGCTAAGGGTTCAGAATTGGTGTTAGTTCTATTATAAAGCAAGATTTGAGAGCAAGAGCATTATGTCTGAAGCCTTCTTCTGTGCTATTCACAACAAGCCTGCCAAACTAGGAAAGCACATCTGGTCATAACTCAAACAGCTCAACCTTATAACAAAGGAATGCATGTGTTCACATGGGAGGGTGTGTATAATGTGCAACGCCGTATGTTCTATAAAGAAGTCCAGCAGCTTCCGAATACAGACCCCTAGTGGACATGGATGGCAGTTGGTTTCAGGATGAACATATCGTTGACAAATCATTAAGCAGGAATCACAAAGATCTGCAGGTGGAGGGTGTCTCCTTAGGAGGTTTTACATACATAATTTTGATAGATTATATTTTTAATTTGTTTATTAGTTCTAGTTCTTCCCATAGCCCAGAGAAATATGCACCAGTAGATGATTGTCAGTCTGAATTATTCACACCGATGGCTAAAGAGATTGTGCTTGCTGGAAACTGAAATAATGAGGATGCAATGGGTTGTGATGGGAAGAGCCCGGGCTGGGCTTTGGGTCAGGGAAGGCTGGATTGGAAGCCCAGCTCTCCAATTGACAGGCCCTGAGAGCTTTAGGAAGTTGATCAACCTTTTCTCACTGGGACCATTGCACCTACCTGGCAGAAACTTAGCCAGGTTGGGATAATGTCAGTAACGTGCCTAACCCGGGCCCTGGCATGGGTGGCTCTTACTGTTACATGGAAACTTTCCCTCGGCTCTTTCTTGATGTACCCCCTCTTCCCTAAGCTGTCTGTTCAACCTCTGCAATTAGGAAGGGGGAGTAGAGCGCTTTGCTTGGGGAGCCGTTTTGAAATTCAGAAATGGGAACACAGTATTTGGCACTGGTGGCCATGAGACAAGAAGGGCAGAGTGACCCAGCAGTGGAGAGGCTTGACCCATTGGAGGCACAGCATCCTGGAAACTCGTCTTACAGAGGATGAGGGTAAAACAACAAATCAGCATCCTTCTCACTGGGACTCCTGAAGCCAGAACCTTGCACTGACGTCAGTGCAGAAGACGAACGGTTGGAGGTAGGAAGGCCGTGTTACAGGACAGACTCCTGCTCGGGGGCTGCAGGTCATTCTGCAGATCCCCGCGTCATGACTGCCTGGGGCAGAACCAGGGATTTTTGCAACAGCTGGCTAATGCCTCACATCACCCAGACCTGCCACATGACCTTACCATCTCTCTTCATGTGAGGTCAAAAATGAGGTCCCTCCCGGAAATTATTTCAGGGGTGACCGACTCTTCGGGTTGAGTCTAAACTCCCTACTGCACAGTTTCCCAGGTTCTGGTTCCATATAGATTGGACATGGATATCATAGGTAAGAAGTCAAAGAACTAGGAGGACTTCAGTGAATGGAAAATAGCACGGCCCAAGAAAATAGTGTATGGGGCTGAGGTGTTCTTGGTAAGCTCTGTCGGGGATGAAGGGAGGCCTGGTAAGAATTGGTAAATCCTGATGGCATAACTAATGCCGTGAATAGGATTGCCTGGATACAAAAGGAAAGGAAGGCTGGTGCCAAGGAAAACCTCCCTGGCAGGACAAGGCCCAGAGTCACTGGCACGTCTGGAGACCTGGGGAATGGGACTCTTCAGTGCACCAGCCAGTGGACAGGCACACTCAGTCCGATAGGAAAGGTGGGTGCATTACCAGCATCACCTGCTACACCTGTTGTGCACATTAAATGTGTTACTCTCCGGGTGGTCAGAACCTTCCTTTCTTTTCCCTTCTTGGGATGTCGAGCCACTAGATGGAGACTTAACAGATTGTATCTAATACAAAACAGCCGGGCATATGGCTGGCCCTGGGGTGTTTCAGTTGCATTCACATGACATTTCTAATGGGAAGGTTTATAGAATGTTACACTCTAAACACGATGTGTTAATATAGGAAAACAGACTGGAGCAAGGTACCCAGGGGTCGGACAGGGGGCTGCTGACGGCCCTACACCACCTTCCAGCAGACATCTGGCACCGACGCGGGCTGAGGAGCCTTTCAGGGTCAGGAGCTGAAATGCTCTGACGGGCTGTGAAATGCCTCCTCATGCATGTGATGAACTTCCTCTCAGCTCCGGGCTTCTCGTTGTAATTCAGTCTGTTTCTCCTGTTAAGTTTTTGCAGGGCCACATGCTGCATTCGCTGAGTCTGCCCGGATTATATTACAGCTCCTGGCAAGTGCACAGAAAGAGGGCCTGGTTGTAGCTGGGCTGGTTTTCTCCAAGGTGCCTGGAGGCTTCTGTTATGGATACTTACATGAGAGCAAAGAGGGAGGTGGTTCCAGAAGCCCGAGGGCCTGTTGCACAGGAGGTTTTTAAATCTGTTTCCACTGATCCTCGATGCCAGCATTGACCTGAGGTAGCCCCAGTGCCAGGCAGGAAGTGCCAAACAGTGAGCATGTGTTGGAGACTCTTCATGTTTGTGGTCGCATCGAATCCTCATCTGAGATAAACACTAAGCCACAGACAGGTTAGGTCACTACTCAGGGTCACTGACTGGGACAGACAACACGGGGATTCAAATCTAGGCAGTCTAACCCCAAAATCCCCACACTAAGCACCATAAATATTTTTGGTAAATTCAGTAGATGGCTCATAATCCTAGCTATTTGGACAGAGTATTGGGCAAGGGTTAGGGAACTGATGAACTTGCTGGTCCGTCCGTACTGTACACGAAGTCTCTGTTTCGCTGGGCTGCTTGGCAGGGTGCGGTGAATGAGAGCACGGGAGAGTTGTCTGTAGCCATGGTGAAGCAGAGCGTACTCAGATGTTGTTCCAGCCCTAACCGTGGCTTCATCCATCATCTTGAGAAGGGGCCTAAACTCTTGACTCCTAAGTTTCCAGTGTGAAATAGGACACAAAATACTTGCCATCTGTTTTCCTTATTGGACCATTAAGAGAGTTAGCAAGATAATTATTTTACATCATTCAAACTCCAGGAATGGAAAGTATTGTCCAGACAAGGTATCTGTCCTTGGGCACAGTTTATTTTATAGTCTGCATCATTAGGACTATAAGTCTAAATCAGCCAGCCAGCATTCACCAGGTGTCCATCGGGCGTGCTAGCACCTGTGTTGCTCAGTCCCACCCATTGTAACAGGCTCACAGGGCTAAAGAAAAGACATCTGCTGCGTGTAATACAGGTAGGATGTCAGCCGTCTCTGGGTGGATGTTTTATCCTACTGGGGGTTAGGTCACAAGAAAGGGAAAGAAAAAAAAATTCGGTTACTTGCATTTTTAAGGGGTGAATTTGTGGCACAGCCACACTTGATGGACATTCCCCTGGGCATCACCCAAAGTAGTTCACAGACATGGTCCAGGCTCTCAAGGAATTTATCCTCAGAAAAGTCTGCATGATGATGGTTGGCTTCTGTCTTTCCAACAGGCGTGGAAAGGAGACGCATCTATGACATTGTGAACGTGCTGGAGTCACTGCACTTGGTCAGCCGGCTGGCCAAGAACCAGTATGGCTGGCACGGACGGCACAGCCTGCCGAGGACCCTGCGGAACCTCCAGAGACTAGGAGAGGAGCAGAAGTACGAGGAGCAGATGGCATCCCTCCAACAGAGGGAGCTGGACCTGATGGATTACAAATTCGGAGAACGTAAAAAAGATGGCTGTGCAGATCCCCACGATCAACAGTTGCTGGATTTCTCGGAGCCCGACTGTCCCTCCTGTGAGTTCATTGTAACCACGTGGGTAATAGCAGAGAGACAGTGATGGTCTCTTCTGAAGAGACTCACTGCTGAGGTGGGAAGTGCCAGATTGACAACCCTGGAGGGAGGTGTCCTCTTACTCTCTCCACTGAAGAAAGGCAGACAGATGGCTCCCCCGCTGGGTTGCCCACTCACCCTCACTGAAAACCTGTCTACTGGCAGATCACTTGGTGGTTGGTGTTTGGACTGCAGATCGCTAACGGAGCTCCCATTCCAGATTGACAGCCCCTTGCTGGTTTCTGTTTGTGAGCCTTTAAGGAAAATTTGCTCTGAAAGAAGTTATCGTTACAATGAAATTAATTTTTCAAGTTACATATGGGAGTAGATTATATAGAAAAGAACCCCATTAGCAGCACATGTTGATTAGAAGGATAGACACTGGATGCAGAATGTTTTTCACTGACGTCCACATTGCTCTTCCCCTCCCGACTCATTTTATCCTCTTCCTGTCTTAACCATTGGTCCTCATCATTCTCTCCCTACTCCCTCCTGCTAAGATGATCAAGTGCAGGTATCACTCACATTTCACTTGCAAATTTAAGAAACAGGAATGGAAAGGTGGGCCTGGTTTGCATTCAGTTTACTGCCTCTTGCCTTTTAGTTCCAGCCCATGAGCCAGTTGTATCTTAATAACCAGGGGAGACAGCCATCTGTCGGGATGGTCTTCCTGCCATCCTCAGCAGCACACATCTCATCAGTTCTCCTATTTAGTTACAGTTTATTTCTGAAAAGAAATGGAAGAGGTGGGCACCTGCTGTGATTACAGTACGTGCTGGATACAGACATACCTCAGAGCCAGTGTGGGTTTGGTTCCCGACCACCACAATAAAACACGTTGTAATCTTTTTGCTGGTGAAGGGTTCTTGCCTTCAATTTGTAAAAAAAATGCAATATCTGTGAAGTGCACTAAACAAGGTTTGCCTGTATTGTGGGCACAGAGAAATTAAAGTAGAATCCTTGCCTTTGAGGTCAGAGTGGATGTTTGAAAACAGTTTCTCATCCCTACCCTATCCCCCCCCACACACACTTTTTTTTTAATCCTCACCCGGGGATATTTTTCCATTGATTTTTAGAGAGAGTGTGGAAGATAGAGGGAAAGACAGTGAGAAATATCGATGTGAGAGAAATACATCAATTGGTTGCCTCCTGCACGCGCCCTGACTGAGGTACGTGCCCTTGACCAGAATCAAACCGGGACCCTTTGGTCCACAGGCTGACGCTCTATCCACTGAGCCAAACCGGGTAGGGCTCTATCCTATCCTTTTCTCCTCCCACATCAATCCTGGCAGAGAGCTGCTTTAGGAAAACCACCTCCTGCTTTCTATTCCACACAGTGTGAGTATAAAGCATTAAGAGTGGGTTAACATTCGCCTTTCAGCGTCTATTCCTACGGAAATCTTATGAGCAGCAAGAGAGTCCGCCTTGTCTTTTTGAGCCATCGTCTGTGACTGTGTCCAGAAGGCTTCTCTCTGTAACAGAAGTGATCTTTCCATTCACTAGCAGAGTCAGATCATTCTGGCAAACTGTAAATAGAGTCTTTCTTGTGGTAAATTATCTTTTTGATGCCTTTGTTTCGTTCCCTTTGTAGCATCTGCAAACAGAAAAGACAAGTCTCTGAGAATCATGAGCCAGAAGTTTGTCATGCTGTTCCTCGTCTCTAAAACCAAGATTGTTACTCTCGATGTGGCTGCCAAAATCCTGATAGAAGGAAGCCAGAATGTGCTGGACCACAGTAAATTTAAAAGTAAGCACCTCACCTGAACCCACCTCGCTGGCCCAGGGAGGGCGGGATTCATACGGTGATGTTTCTGCCTCTGAAAGTAAAAGAACAATGGTTTTTTGGAGAAGTGCACTCCTTCCTGCATCCCAGAATCCTTGGGGCTGTGAGAGGTAAGTTAGTCACCTGCTAGGATTCCCATTGACGTCTCCTTGGCAGTTAGAGTGGACGGTGGAAGCAGAGTGCCATCCACAAATGCAGGTCAGGGTGGGTGTAAGATACTTTGCATTTCTCTTTAGTATCGCAGCATCCAAGACAGAATGTCTGAGTTTTGTTTCCCCTTCCCCCTCCATCCCCACCCCCCACTTACTCTTCTGATGGGTGGAGATGAAAGGTATGTACAGGTAAGAAGCAGCGGAATGACCAGAGTAGGGGAAGGGTGGTGGGACATGGCTGCGGACAAGGAGAGCGTTTCTGAGTTTCATACTTTCTGTCGAGCGTGGGTCCCAAGCCAGAGGCCCTTGGCTGCTGGTAGTCCTTTCAAGCCTTGGGGAGGCATGAGCTCAACATACCTTGTTTGTTTGTGTTTCCAGCTGGAATTATAGCCATCCTGTGGGAGAAATGACTAAATAAAATCTAAGCTCTCCCCCTATTGGGAAGAAAATTGCATCTGGGATGAATGCTTGCTATTTCTAGACAATCATCAATATTCTTTGCTTTATCTTAGCCCTGAAGTCAAGTGGGTTTCCTACCTGTAAATTGATTTCTTAAATAGAAATTACTTTCTGGGCATCACCTGCCTATTTACTGTGTTACCACCCCTTCTGAATTTCTCTTCTAGTCCAGGCATTTTCAGATGTGTCTCCCCAAACCTCTTAAGACTCGAGGATTGTGCATCCCACCCCCTCCCCTCTGGGTGGCCAGAGGCTGGGACTTCAGGTGAGGAACTGCCTGTCTTCAGCACAGCGGTACCTCAGAATCCTGAGCCCGGAACACCCTCTGTGCCCAGGAGTGCGGCTTTGCAGGAAGCTCTGGGGATTCCCTGTCATGTTCACAGCCCAGCTGCCTGGTGGAGCTGGTGCCACAGCCTCCTGCTGGGAGAAACTCGGGCAGGCTTCCGACATGCCACACGTCAGAATCACACTCACTGAGCCTCTAATTACAGCCCGCTTCCCTCCCTCGGGTGTTTTTGCAATCAGGGCTCTCCCTGCTTGTCTTAGAAAGGTGTGAAGCTGTGGAAACGGAAGGACACACCGACCTTGGTCTGTGGCTGCAGATGCATAAATCCTGGGTGATTTCATGACAGAGCCATTGGTCATTTCATCCCACCCACTGCTCTCCCCTGAGGTGTATATGGTGGCCAAGAAAAGTGACCTGTCACATAAACTACAGTGTAATGGTGCCGCAGGCAGCATGACCGTAATTGTGTTTGATGTCTTCCAGCAAAGGTCCGACGTCTCTATGACATCGCCAATGTCCTGACCAGCCTGGCTCTGATCAAGAAAGTGCACGTGACGGAAGAGCGAGGCCGTAAGCCAGCCTTCAAGTGGATCGGGCCTGTGGACTTCGCCTCCAGTGGTGAGGCATGGTTTTGTTAGGCACCTATTTTATTTAAAATCCTACATTTCTAAGTCCTTTTCTGAATCCTACATCTACTACAGAGTGAGATCGATCTTCTCCCTCACTTTCCGTTACCCAAGTCACCTTCAAATTAGACTGTGATGTCACTCTCGGAACAGTGAGTATTAGTCCACAAATGGTTCGTGCTGGTCGGCTCACACAGTTGGAGGGGAAATACTGAGAGCTTAAGATGTGGGAGTTTCTGTAACTAGTAAATTACAGCCCTTTAGCATGTTCTATTTTATTCAGAAGATTTTTTTTTCCTGGAAATTTGGGACAAGGGATTTAAAATGACATTTATAAACTCGAGTGATGTCTACATTAGTGGAATACCTAAAATATTGTTTTTCTTTGAAATTCCACATAATGTAAAAATTATACTATTGCTATCATGAAACTAATATATGGTAAAAATGGCTCCTAAATATAGTATAGATGCAATGAACACCTGTTTTTTATCTTTTATTTCAAAGGTTACAAATGTTAATTTTACTAAACTAGAGCAGAAGAGGGTATTATCTTCTACCTATTTCACAGGTAATAGCTGAGCAATTGGGGACTGGATCCTACCGTACCAGCTACTTTACATATAACTAGGCTGCCTGAGAAAAAACCATTAATGTTATTTTTAAATTACCCTTGCAATTTTGGTGTTAGTGGCATAAATTCCTGCCACTTAACCCAGGCCTATAGAAGATACAGCTCTCTACCTCATTGTAGCACATTATTCACTTCGGATCTAGATGAAACCACTTGAAATCTAGTGTAACTAATTCCACCCAGCAAGTACTTACTGCGTGTGGACTGTGCACGTGCCATGAGAGACTAAGGCTGCATACACCTCGCCATCCGTGCCTACATGGAATACACAACGTTGCCCTTTTCTGTTGCTCTGCCTTTGGCTTCTCTTCATCCTTTCACCTGTGAAGCCCTCTTCTCTTGGACATGAAAATACTCTGTTCCCCTTTCCAGATCTGTCACAAATGTCAACTCCTCCATAAAGCTTCCCTCGTCACCCAGAGCAAAGAGTCTCTCATCTGAACTGCTGCACTTTAGTATAATGCTGTTGTACTTGGTGATGCTGATGTGATGCTGTGGTCCCTGCTCCGTGGGTTTGAGGGCAGAAGAGGTCTTTGTTCATCTTTGATTACCTGACGTACCCAGATCCGTGCCTTGCTCACTTTCGTTGGTTAATGAGCCTCTACTGGAGTCGTATAGTTAGCACTCATTTGAAACTTAGAATAACAGTCAAGCACTATACATGGTGGTAGTGGTGCTATAGGAAATCAAAGGATATGGGTGAAGTTCTGATGGACTTTTAGGTTTTGGAGGGATGGAGAGCTTTTTAGTTGAAGGAACTGATACCTAAGCACAAGTCTGGTGTGTGGGGGAGAGATCAGCCATCCTGATCTGAGTGGAGGGCATAGGGCAGAGAGTGATGAGGCATGAAGTGCGATCAGTTGGAACAGAATTTTTGGTGGGCTTCAAAGGGTAAGCAAGACATTTGTACTAGATGCATAGACTGACGTGACAAGGGGTCTTTAGTCTTTAGATAGGTTGAAAGAGAGGAGGGGTTCAAGGATGGTGGTATCATTGCAGAAAATGAGGTAGTTGGGGAAATGAGCTGGAGTTGAGAAAATGAGTTCATGTATTTGCATAACCAGTGGGACAGCAACTGGGGGGAGCTCTGATCTGAGGAGGGAAAGAGGGCTTGGAACCAGGTCAGGAACCTCAAAAGTAGCTGCTTACCTACCCTCAGAAATGTGATCCTTGTTCTGCATTCCCTAGTTTCTACTGATATCCTCATCAGCCCAGCTGTCAAATTTGGAACGAGTTACCTTTGATCCCTTAATTCACTCCTTGATTAGCAGTGCCTCACAATTAAACTTCATATATGTCTCTTTCCTATCTCCCTTCCCACCATCATGGCTTTTCTTCCTTTTAACAGCTTTATTGAGGTATCATGGCACATTATAAGTGGAATGTGGTTAAAGTTACAATGTGATAAGCTTTTGCATCGTCTGCATCTGTGAAGTAATCACCGCAGTCAAGACAGTGAGCCCATCACCCTCCAGAGTCTCTTCTGTCCCTTCAAACTTCTTCCTTCCTCCCCTCCTCTCTCCCCAGGGGAAGCCCCTGATCTGCTTTCTTTCACTCTAGATTTGTTTGTATTTTATAAAAATTTTTATCAGTGAGTCACCTACAGTCATTATTCACAGACTAGAGGCCCGGTGCACGACATTCATGCACTGGGGTAGGGAAGGGGGAGTGCAACCTGGCCTGCACCCTCTCATAGTCTGGGACCCCTCGGGGGGTGTCCCCTCAGGGAACGGGCCTAAGCTGGCAGTTGGACATCTCCCGAGGGGGGTCCTTAGCACTGCTGTGGAGGCGAGAGAAGCTCCCACTGCTGCGCTCACCGGCCATGAGCCATGAGTGACCACCAGGGGGCAGCTCCTGCATTGAGCTTCTGCCCGCTGGTGGTCAGTGCATGTCATAGTGACCAGTTGTTCTGCCGTTTGGTTGATTTGCATATTAGCCTTTTATTATATCGGATTCCATATTTGCAAATTTATCTACTCAAATTTGTCACTCCAAAAGTAATACTCGCAGCATTTTCTAAGTTGTTCACAGATATGCAGAGTGGCAGAAAGTTTGAGTTGCCAACTGAGGTCAAGCTGGACAGTGCTCTGCCTGTTTCAGCTCTCATACTATAAACAAGTGTCCTTTTTGTGGTCCTTTTAATGCCATGTTTCACATTTGTGTGCTTGGAGTTGGTGATTTCGCTGTTTGAAATGGTACCCAAGTGTTGTGCTGAAGCGTTGTCTAGTGTTTCTAAGTGATGTACCTTACAGAGAAAATACATGTTAGAGGAGCTTCATTGAGACATGAGTTCTAGTGCTGTTTGCTATGAGTTCAGAACTGATGGATCAACAATATGTATTAAATAAGGTGTCTTTAAACAGAAACACATAAAACATGGTTATGTGTAGATCATTTGACAAAAATGTTGTGACCAGAGGCATGCAGGAACCTAACCCTGTATTTCCTCTAGGAACAGTGCTTCAGTGTTTGCTAATTAATTGTTCCTGCTCACTTTACAGAACATGAGAACCACAAACAACAATAGGCTGTACCTCCTATACTCTTTATCAGGCTTCTTTCACTCGGCATAATTATTTTTAGATTAATCATGTAGTAGCATTTATCAGTAGTTTTTTCCTTTTATTGCTAAGAAGTATTCCATTGTATGGCTATATCATTCTTCAATCATTTACATGTTGATGGACATTTGGATTATTTCCATTTTTTGGCTGTTACAAATAAAGCTACAATGAATATGTATGTAGCCCTAGCCAGTTTGGCTCAGTAGGTAGAGCATTGGCCTGCAGACCAAAGGGTCCCAGGTTCTATTCCAGTCAAGGGCACATACCTCGGTTGCAGGCTCCTCCCCAGCCGAGGCCCTAGTCGGGGGTCATGCAGGAGGCAACCAATTGATGTGTTTCTCTCACATCGATATCTCTCTGCCTTTCCCTCTCTCTTCCACTCTCTCTAAAAAGCAATGACAAAATATCCTCGGGTAAGGATTAAAACATATATATATATATGCATATATGTGTATACACGTATACACATATATGCATGTACATTGTCCCCATATAGACACATACATATATATGCATGTACATTGTCCCCACTGTTGAAACAACACAGTATTCCTTCTGCTCCTTTTGAGTGGTTCTTTCCCCTCTGGCCTTGGGTAGTTTTCTCACCTGTGTGAGTACTCCACTGAGTACCCGAGGGGCACCTTCCACCCATCTCCAGCATTCTCCTTCTGTATGGCTCTCCTCTAATATCTTGCCATGCAAACTCCAGCTGCCTTGGCTTTCCTGGCCTCCCAGCTCCATCCTAAACCTGGAGAGACTTCCAGGCTCTCTCAAGGTTCCCCTCTCTGCACCCCAACCTGGAAACAGTCTCCAGGCAGTGAATTGGGGCAGTCATGGAGCTCACCTCACTTGATTCCTGGCTCTAAAGGATCATTGTCTTTCATGTCCTGATGTTCAGTGTCGTGAGAGCCACTGGTTGATTTATATATATTGTCCAATGTTTTGTTTCAGGAAGGAGGGGAACTCTGATCCCTGTTATTGTCTTGACCCATTTTTTTCTTTTTGATTCTGTAATTTCTGAATTTCTAAAAAGAACATTTACTGTGTTTTTGTTATAAGAAATAGAAACCCATAAAGGTGATTTTCTTTTTCAGTGTTTGTGTGTTTTAGAGACTGTAAGTGTGGCTGGGCCTTTCCGTCTATTTAACCGGCCTTATTAAAATGGGCATGCTTTGAGCTCCGAAATAAACAGCACAGAAGAGCAGGGTAGGAATAACTGTCTGAGCAACAGCAGTGGGGACTGTTTCTACCTAGAAATACAGGCCTGGTTGAAGCATAAAACGGGCCCCTCAGGCCCAGCCCTTTATTATCCTTACTATTCTGCAGCATTTCAACTATTCTGCAGCATTTCAACTATGAGGTTTCTGTTGACCTTATTCCTTTGGTCACTGGGTAACGGAGCCCTACTGCATAAGAAATAATAAAGCAATAGAATCCAGAAATTTTTATATTCATTGCCTTAGAGCTATGGCATAAGAGACTGATTTCAATTAATGTTAAAAACCTCAAAATATGCACGTTGATACTCTGCCCAAAGAAAGTATCTAAAATGTTAGGTCCCTTCTATTTTGGGGTGAAAAGCATCTTGCTCTACTTTTATTGCAGTGTAGGTAATTTTAGAACATATATGGAGTTAGTCTCACTTTATAGTCCTCCACTAACTTAAAAAGAATTGTACATCAGAAGAAATTGGGGTTTGAGACAGGCTCATATAATTCCTTGGAGTGTCTGAGTTTCTCATTTATAGGGTAGCTCCATTACAATGATAGGCTTTCCAAGCCATATCTTAAAAAGGTAAAGTTATCTGGAATGATAGCTGTGTAACAACACTGCCAAATCTTCCGTTTATGTAGATGAAGAACTAGTGGATGTTGCTGCATCTGTCTTACCAGAACTGAAAAGTGAAACATACAGCAAAGTTCACATCTGTGCTGCACAGAAGCTGGCTCGACGTGGCTCCTTCAACAGAGTTCCAGCTTCTGAGAGGAGTCACAGGAAAGTGAACTCGGGACCCAGCAGCCCTTCCAGGGAAGCACAAGGTATCTACCTGCCTTTGCTGAACCCTGGACTCCATCAGCCCATGTCATCGTAGCCTTACCCTCCACGCGCTGGCACTTTAAATCCAGTCGCCTCTCTAGGCCCTGCCTGTTTTTTCACTACCCTGAAGTGGGACAGCTATTGGGGGTAGAGAGTTGGTGACTTCACAGGGTGTGACCATGGGCCTATTCCTTGATACTGATCCTAGTCAGCCTGGAAGATCAATTAGCTTGCCACGGATGGCCTGTTTGATGCATCTCAAAAATGCATCCGACTTACAAAGCAACACTTGTTTTGTTTCTCTTCCCAATTCTCGATGAGACCTGAATTTACCGGTAACAGCTAGCTTCTCAAAATGTCTCTCTTTGAATCAAAACCAGAATAGACTTGAGATAGTCTTAGAGTCCCTGAGCTGTGAAAATGCATCCTGCTATAAAAAACTGGTATGTATACGTCTCTTGCTGTATTTCTGAGACCTTCCTTTTCCTTTATAGGACCAGGTGGCTTCCTAGAAATTGGAAGTCTGGCAGCTATTTACCAACAGCAAATAGAAGACAAGCCACAGTAAGTCTTTTAAAAACTCCAGGTGTATTCTTCTCTATTTCTGAATGTTCACTTGGACTAAATTGAAATGCCACCCACCCAAAGGTAACTTTTAGCAATCTTGCTCCTAAGTCAGCCATTTGTTTATTGAGAAGTTTGTAAGTTTACCCTTTATGCAAAACAATGTGCATGATATAGCATCAGGGACACAAAAGTACAAAAAATTATCCCCTGAGCTATGAAAGCTTATAGGGAAAAAAATTAAACAAATGCCCCCCAAAAGACAAAGCACTACTAGTGTGACACGAAAAATGATGGATCATAGTCCATGAGTCACTTTGTCATCATTGTAACACGTGACTGCCAGGTACTAATCCAAAAGTTTTATGTATATAAACTCATCTAATCATAACAACCTTTTTTTTTTTAAATCCTCACCAGAGGATTTTTTTCCATTGATTTTTAGGGAGAGAATAGAAGAAAGGGAGGATTGGAGAGAGAAACATCGATGTGAGAGAGAAACATCAATTGGTTGCCTCTTGCACGCACCCCACCAGGGCTGGGGACTGAACCCACAACCCAGGTATGTGCCCTTGACTGGTAATTGAACCTATGACCCTTTGGTGCATGGGCCAACACTCTAACCACTGGCCAGGGCTAGTCATAACAATCTTTTGAGGTTGGTACTGTTATTCTCCTTTAACAGCAGTCACATGTTATTAGAGGAAATGCTAAAGAAGGAACAAGAGACGTTTTTAATGACTGATTTGGGAAGAAACAGATTCTGAGGCAGGGTCAGGGAGTGGAGGGACAGCAAGCTGATTAACGATAATGATTTACCCAAATAGGATAGTGAAAGGAAACACCATTCAGAAGAAGAGCTTAGGGTGTTGGAGGTAAGTAGGCTAAGTTGGCAAAAAGCTTTGAAAGCCAGGTAGAAGGGTTTGGATTTAGGAGACAGATGGTGCAGACTATTGCAGATTCACCAGGGAAGACCATTCTGGCTGCTTTAAGCAGGTGGGATTGGAAGTAGAGAATATCCTCTAGGTGAGCAGATCACAGAGCAGAGCATTTGCAGCAATTCTGTCTGTGGTGCAGGCCTGAGCTGGCGCAGCCAGAGGTGGAACGCAGTGGGAACGGTGAGTCAGCAGGACCTACCAGAGCAGGAGGAGGCACTGCAGAAATACCTGGGTCTCAGATGATGGTGGCAGTGGTGGAGATGGAGAGACTGACGGGAGACGGCTGGGGGTAGGAAGGTGTGTGATGTGCTCAGTGTGGACACACTGGGTTTCACAGAGCTGAGTAATAGCGATTGCTTACTCAGAGGGGGCTGTGGTTGAGAGTCACTCAGCACTGCAGCCCGGAGCCCTCCATTTTATTCCCAGCAGCACAGTGGACAGTGAGATTGTGGGCAACCCAGGTCTCAGTGATTCCAACAGAAAAGTAGTCAGAAATCCCTGTTCTCTGTGTACCAGTTTCTAAAGGAGTTTCCTCGTCTATTTCCAAAAATATACTGAACATATAAACATTTTGTTTTTTAGTATTTGAAAATTTTTTTGTATAAAAGGCCAGATAATGTTTATAATCTCACATATTGATGGGCCTTGATTTTGAATGCGTTGCCTAAAAAGTCTATAGTAATACTGAGCAGAATGGGACAAGAATGACAGAAAAGAATAATTTTGTAGATAAGTGTATTTCCTCACTCACTGCCCACTTCATTTGTCTCACAGAGGATTTGAGACGAATGGGATGTATCCTTGAAATCAAAGTTGTCCAGTCTCTTAAGCAGCCCGGATCTCTCACGGTGACTGAGCAAGAGGCCCCTCTGAGTGACCTTCAGGAGATTGCTTACCCTCTGAACCTCAGTTTTGTTCCCTAGTAAACTGGGGGGATGAGAGTGGTGACTGGGGGGATGAGAGTGGTGACTAATATTATAACAGTTGTGTAAAGTATTATAATGTGCTAATTATTGTAGTACCCATGTGCCTGGTAAGCGGTACCTGCTGGGTAGTTGATAACTATTAGATGTGGAAGGGGCCAGTATTAGCTCTAAACAGATCCTCCCAGAGCAAGTCCCTCATTAGCCATCAGCTCCTCCCTCCCCCCTGCCAACTGTCGATCCTGGTTATACCTGGTCATCGCCTCTGCGGTTAGGTTACCTAATGTGTGTTCAGGGAATACACTTTAACAACCAAGCAGTATTCCCCACTCTTGCTTTGGTGCGTCTCTTCAGAAAAGTAGAGTCGGGAGTTGGTAGAATGTGGTAACTCAGTGGTTCCTGTTGTTTCTTTTTATTACAGGGGCAAAGCCTTGGACGGGGAGGGGGTGACGCTTCCATCCAGCAGCCTGGACCCCGCCGCTCCTTTCCCTGTCCACCCTGTGGACTCAGAATACTGTGTCAATCCTTTAGTCCACCAGGTGTTTTCCGTGCCTCCGACGGACTTGCAGGCCTTCTCCACACAGAATGGTCTGAATAGACAAGTAGGTGTCTCCCTCGCTTCTGCGGCCTCAGACTTGGAGAGCCTGAAGCCAGGCCTGCTGGCCGGCCAGCCCCTGCTGTACGTGCCCTCCACCTCTCTGTTCATGCTGTGCGGGAGCCTGCAGGAGGGACCGCCCCCGGAGCCCGGGTCCGAGAGGGACAGCAGAGGCTCAGAGGCCTCAGCCGCAGCGCTGTGGTCCACACCCGCAGCCCAGAAGCGCCTGGGTGAGGAGAGGCAGCTGCCAGAGGAGGAGGAGGAGGAGCCGGCAGCTAAAAGACAAAGCAGGGGCTACGAAGACGGCCCTCTGTCCCTGGTCATGCCCAAGGTAAGGGCGTCCCGGTGGATTCTTGGGTGGGTGTGTTTAGGGACGTCCCGTTACCGGAGCTTCTTCCTAATGAGGACACACCGAGGTTAATAAGCTACTGAGTCTGGAATAGGGGGTATTTCATGAGCCACTTGCATATTTAAGGCCTGAACTAGCTTTCCCCAAAAGGCTTGCCGTAAAGTAGTACTATAAGAAAAGTAAGTGCTTTTTATAAAAGTCACACTTTGTATAAAATGACAAAGCGTTTAAAGAAAAGTTCTGCCCATTATGCCACCACACAGAGGCCACCACTGTTCACACGCCTGTATATTTCCTCCTGGTCTTGTTGCCGTCCTTTTGTTTTAAATACATTGAGATCACTGAACCGTCTTAATCCAGGACTCAGCTAAGTTCCAGAGTCCGGAATGTGGACGCTACTTCACTTTCAGAGCCTGTGCTTGGTCAGTTTTCATCTCTGCTCAGAGATCCCGTCTCCCTCCCCACGAAGTGAGAAGAGCAAACGCAGGAGCTGTCCACGTCTCCCGCTCAGTGGCCATGCAGAGGTTGATGAGGCGTGACCAGTGAGACTCGCAGACAGCAGGAGCACTGGCATTGCAGCGGGTTGTAGTGGGTCAGCTGGGCACCCTTCATGGGAATCAGTTCGTTAATTAAGGCCCTTTCTGCTGCCGGGGCGAATTTTCCTAAGTGTGTATGTAGTGTGGGTTGCAGAACAGAAATGAAAGACTGACTGGTATGTGCCTTAGATAACCAAGACAGCTTTGGGCCTCCCCGCAATTCTTACCAGGCCCCTCAAAGACTGTGGTATCATCACCCTTTCTGTGCTGGCAGCTCAGAAACATATTGCACCATCTGAACATCATGGCCCGTTTTCCTGTTTATGAAAATCTCCACCATTTCTATGCTTGAGGTGTGACGCTGATTTTCAGGCCATTCCTAAAACGTGACTGAGACAACAGACATACACAAGTCACTGTTGTGCACAGCTGTGTTTGACCTTCCTGTTCTATGGTAGTTGTTTTGGTAAAGCTGTTATTAAGATTTGCTGCTGGGATTTTGACTTGCTTTTCTGGTTCCTGGTTTGGTTGTGCTTAGAAATCCGCAGATTCCTCAGATGTTGCCTCTCCCAAGATGCGGGGTAACAGGGTGCCTGTGTCCCTTGAAGATGTGCCCTTGAATAGCCACCTGCCTGCTGCAAGGGGCGTTTGGGGAAAGGCTCCAGCACATGGCTTCGTTTCTTCCGAGTGGGGAAGTCTTCCAAGGAACACAGAGATTGAAAAGCCTTTGCAAGAAAATGAAGGCACCACCGAGCCCTCTTTGCTGCAGTGTCTTTACGTGCAGCCACCAGCCGGTAAGGGATGTCATCATGTCCCTAAGGCCCTTGGGGTAATCGACGATCAGTTGGATTTTTAAATCTTGTTCCGTGTCACCTGACCAAAGCAGTTCATTGATGAGCCTCTGAGTCATTTTACTCTCAGCCCTCTTGTTTCCTCCACTGATGAAACGAAGGGAGAGGCTGCTTAGACTTTCACCAACCTCCAGGTTAATGGGGAAATAATTACGCAAGTGATTTTTAAAAAAAAATGTATTAAACTTTATTTGCTAAAAAAGCACAATAGCCCTGACCAGGTGGCTCAGTTGGTTGGAGCCTCGTCCCATATACCAAAAGGTTGTGGGTTCCATTTCTGGTCAGGGCACATACCTAGGTTGTGGGTTCGATCCCCAGTTGGGGCACCTACAGGAGGCAACTAATCAATGTTTCTCTTTCACATCGATGTTTCTTTCTCTCTCTCCTTCTTCTCTCTAAAATCAATAAAAAACATATCATTGGGTGAGGATTTAAAATTTTAAAAGGCACAACAAATTCAAAAAATGATTCTTTTTTATAATTCAGCTGAGTCTGGCATTGGTTCAGTGTGACAGTATGAGCCAGTTGGCCACTGTGTGCCCCTAGCGTGCTGATCTCTTGAATGTCCAGAGGGACGGAGCCTGTGACTGGTCTGGTGGCAGGGCTGCAGCAGAAGGGCTGGGTGTGAAAGCCACCTGTTGTCTGTGGGAGCGAAAGGCGCTGCAGCCACCCTCATTGGTAAAACGGCAATCACAACAGCACCTGCTTCATGGGGGGAGGGGTGCTGTGAAAATTCAGTTCAATAAGAATACATCTGAAGCATTTAGAATAATAGTGTCTGACACTTAGTAAGACTCAATAAATGCTGTTACCATTTTGAAGTAAAGCTGAAATATAATAGACACCTAATTTAGATATGCACAGAGTACATGAAGCTGCTCTGGATGGAAAGAGACTTAAATTGATTTTCCTCAAGTCCTTGTTCACTTCACAGGTAGGTAGGAACTGGTTATTATTCGCTCCTCTAGAAGACATTCTTTATTCCTTTAGCAAGTATTTTGTGAGAGTTTAAACATGATTCTCAGTGTTACAGATATATTGAACAAAACCCAGACACGGCCATGGGCCCTTTGCCTCTGTGGTACAGCCCAGGGATTCCTCCTCAGCACACTTACAAGTGCACAGAACACAGGGATTACAAAGGAAGCCAATTATATGGAAACTAGAGGCCCGGTGCACGAAATTCCTACAAGCGGCTTGGCCCTCACAGCCCCGGCTTCATCCTGAAGGTCACCCGGAAGGATGTCCGAAAGGTCGTTCGGCTGTCCGGTCTAATTAGCATATTATGCTTTTATTATTATAGATACAGTTAGAAAAATGTTTTTTAATTACAGTAATAAAAATATGTGACAGAAAATCCAATACTCTCATAATTTCAAAATTGTGATGAGCATAACAGTCTATTCAGAAATCTGCCATAGCTGTAATGTTCTATGAATATATCTGTGTTTGTTCTAGTGACAAAGGCAAGGTAGTAGTAACACTGTTGTGATGTGTTGCCCATGATCTTAACTGAGGGAAATATAAATTTCAGCTACAGTTCATAGAAGTAAAGATACAGTTTTTCCCATCCAAGTTCCATTCCTCCTCCATTTCAATGCAGTGGTGTTCACATTGAAATCCCCCTCGGGAGACACAGGCATCCACCCAGTTCTCACACAGAAATACGGGGGGTTTCAGCCAGAGCTGCTGCTGCAAAGAGGCAGTGCCAGCTGGGAGAGCACAGGGAAGGGGCTGGGAGGGCACAGGGGAGGGGCTGACTGCTCAGGTGGGGTTGATTCACTGGGGGCTCCCATTTGCAAGTGCCCGGAGGAATTTGAGCTTGAATGAGACCTACATTCTGACTTTTGCCTTGTTCTGCTTGTTTCAGGATTAAATGGTCTCAACGTGCTCTTACCTGGCAGTCAGACCCCTCATGCTATGAGACCACCTTCGGGTCAGCTGCCACCCCTCGGTGTCCCTTGCATGGTCTTACCATCTTCGACACTGGGCCCATTTCCTGTTCTCTACTCTCCCACAATGGCCGGGCCGGTTTCTCCTGCCCCTGGCTCTGTCCCAAACACGGGACCTGGGAGTTTCCGCTTGCCAGGCCTCGGATCAACGCCTCATCTTCTCATCGGCCCTGCAGCCCTGGTTAACCCAAACTCCTCGACACTCCCTCCAGCAGACCCTCAGCTTCAGGGTCCCCACTCACTTAACCAGAGTCCAGTGATGTCCAGACCCCACAACGCCACCCAGCCCACGTCCCCAGTGTACGAAGGACACCCAGGCTCTGTGGTGAAATTACAGCAGGTGAGTCCTGAAGTTTTGTTTCCATTTGCACAAGAAGGCTCATCACTCTGGGACGGGGGTGCCTGCATCTCACCAGCTTTGGTTTTAGTCACCTGACTGCAGGGCAGCGGCTCCGGGTGTGGTTCTCCCAGCTTCCCCTACAGACCCCATTACCTGCTTATAAAGTACAAACACCAATGGCAGGAGACCCGTGCTTTAAAGACAAAAATGTTTCTTACTTGTTTTTAATTAGAGGAAATTATTTTAGGCTTAGTTCAGGTAAATTTTTGATGAATGCTGAATGTTCAGATTCTCCAAGTTTTCATTTCGTTAGATCCATAAAGGAGACCACCCTGAATTTTAATTGTGCAGAAACAAGATAAACTTTGGAAGTCTTGATACTGACACAAAGATTTTTAGCATCTGTCATTTCTTAAAATGCAGTGTTTAGGAGGCATCTATATGCATACACACTCAGAATAGAGGCAAATGTACATATATAAGTGTATATGATTAATATAAATTAATCAAACTATATTTCTCCCCCAAACTCCATTTATACTTTAGTCAATAAGTATTTGTTGAATTCCTTTCATGCATTAAGCATTTTTCAGAGTGCTTTCTCTCCAAAAGAAAGAGTTATGTTGCGGCAAAAAAATATTTTAAACATGTTATTCAGAGGCTCAGAAGTTTAGTAGACGTTGAAATAAACATGGTAGTTTTTAAACAAGGCTATTACAACGTAACATATACTTTTTGATCACCAGTTATGTGCCGGGCACTGACCTAGGCAGTGAGGGTATAACAGTAAACAGGGTAATAGTCCTGCCCTCCTAGAGCTTGTTAAGGGGATACATGTTTAACATTTAACAGGAGAGGATAAATATCAATAAACAAAAGAGCCAAGAAACATATACTTACTATTTGCCTGGCATGCTCTAAAGTACCTTATCAGTATTATATTATTCAGTTTTTACAACCTCTAAAGTCAGTACTTTTATCATCCCCATTGTATGGATGAAGAAACTGGGGGACATACTGGTTAAATCATTTGTCCAAGGTCACACAGCTAATTATGGCAGAGCCCAGACCCTGGCTCCAGGTGCCACGCTTATAAATTCTTTGTTAGGCTGCCTTTCTGCACACAAGGTAAGTTAATTTCCAATTGTGGTAAGTATTGAGATACATCGCATGAATGTGATAGAAAAGCAAAGAGGAGGGACCGCCTGCTTAGGGACCATAATGCCACAGGACTTCCAGTTTAGAGACAGAGAACAATTTGACTTCACTTCTGCTTTTATTTACTCTGATTTTCTTTTATAGTCCCCAACTCCAGGGACCCCCAAGAGCACCCGACACACACATTGTGAGACATTCTTCAAGACACCCGGCAGCCTTGGAGACCGGGTCCTTAGGAGAAGAGAGAGCAAGCAGTCGCAAAACGCCAGCTCAGCGCAGCGGAGACTTGAAATACCCAGCGGCGGTGCCCACTAGCCGGGTGCTCTGCCCGATGGCGTGCCTCAGACCGCCTGAGCTTCCCTGTCCGTCACAGGTCAGGTCCTGGCGCTGGAGCGAAGCAGAATGCACGCCATCGCGCCTTTCACCCTCCGGTCCTCACGTCGACTTCCCATCACCGTCTATTCTCCTGAAAGTCATTGTTACTAATTGCGCGTTTAGTACCAGTTAGCGCCCAGACTCTGTGCCTGGTGTCGCAGGGAAAGCGCCCGCTGACTTGTGGTTTTGCTCCAAGAATTCTCTATTTGCTCGAAGTAGATCGGAACAGGCTACTGGAGCCAGTGGTTTCCCTAAAGGTGGGGCCTGTCCAGCACTTAGCCAGGGTGAGTGTCCCTGACGTGTCTTTCCACTCGCCCTGAGTAGATCTGTGGTGAGAGAGCCTTCCTTCCTGCAGATTAAAAAGCTACGGCTTCCTAGGCTTCATCGGGAAGACAGCGTCAGCTGTGAATCCTACCGTGTTATTTATTGTGTTCCTGGAATGGGCCTTAGTGCAAAAAGTTTACAAGTACAGCAAAACATGCTCTTCAGGGTGTGACGACTTGAATGTTTGTGCTTTTCCCCTATAATTAGCCCTGCACTTACTTTACACCTTAGAGATAATGTGGAAAATGTTGGTACACATGACAGAATGTCAAGACCAAAATAACTGTGAATGGCACACCTTGCTACAACGGATGTGCTAACCGTGTCTGGGCACAAGAGCTTAGATGAACTACAGCAGCCGAACCGCTGCTTCTCAGTTAACTGTGGACAAAAAAAAAAAAAAAAAAAACCACCTTACTGTGTTCACTGTCCTTCACTACATGCCCCTGTGGGGTGCTTTTTTATTATTATTTAAATATTAAATGTCAGGTCTGGATGCCTTCTAACAATTGCTGTTCATTGGATAAATCAGGGGGGTGGAAAATAATTGTATGGGAAATTGGCATCTGAATAGGACCTTTTGGTAGAATTCTGAGGAATTAATGTAGAAACTGATAATAGGACAATAGGTGATTATTTTTTCCTTTGCTTTTTGTCTTCAGTTTGGAAGGGTAAGAGGAAAGTGGACACAGGTTGTTGAGTACCTAAGAGCATTCAAACCAGAGTTATGTTCAGAGGACAGAAGAGTAAGCACGTGAAAGCAGGGGCTTATAGTTCAGCGCGACTGCAATTCGGGAAGCTGTCATGCAGTATCCCTTTGTCAACCCGGATTACTTCAGGGCTTCCGTACATAAGCCAGACGAGATCTTTGTATGCCTAAATTTATTGATCTTAACCCAGGGGTGGGCAAACTTTTTGACTCGAGGGCCACAATGGGTTCTTAAACTGAACCGGAGGGCCGGAACAAAAGCATGGATGGAGTGATTGTGTGAACTAATATAAATTCAAAGTAAACATCATTACATAAAAGGGTACGGTCTTTTTTTTTTAGTTTTATTCATTTCAAACCGGCCGGATCCGGGGCCGTAGTTTGCCCACGGCTGTTTAACCTCACTCCTATTTCTTCAGAATAAATGGGTCTTTCCGTTCCTCTTTCTTTATTCCTTTCTCTTTTTTTAAATTTCTATCTTGGATTTGGAGTCTTGGTTTAGGGTTTTATTTTATTTTTATTTTTGGACCCAATAAAATGTTATATGAAAGAATAAAAATATTAATTTAAGAGACTCTGGGAGTCTGTGTAAAGTAGCTTTATATTAACTATCGGATATTATTAGCCTTAATACCCCCATAAGATTTTTTTTTTAAACTAAAAGTAGGTAGGTAGAATAAGTAAATTTGCTACCATATAAAATTTTACTAACACTAAACTTTTAAAGTTTACAAGATGCTATTTTTCCCCTTTTTTACAACCTTCTCTGGAGTTCAACAGATAAAAATGTTCAGTCATCCACCATTGCATGGTAATGATTACCTTGAACGGATATGATGGGATCCCTATCGGAACAAATGAAAACGCCCTTTTCAGGACTCCGGATATAATCCTGCACAGGGGGGTGCAGGTCAGAGCTGCCCTGCTGGAGACTGTCCCCAAATATTTTCACTCGAGAGGTCTGCATTCAAATCAAAACACAGACTGATTATCTCCTCTGTCCTTAGATTTTCCTCACTTTACTATCTTTTTAAAAAAAAAATCTGTTCATGATATAACCACATAAACCTCAGAGAATTCACAGTTCTTGAGGGGTGTTAGGAAGTAACCCCATAAATGGGAATATCACGATTCTGTGACCATACTTAGCGATAGAAAACTAAGAACAGGTGCCTTTTGTATTCAGTACCCACGTCATAATGTGGCTGTGTGACATGTGGAAACGATGCATGGCGGTTTCTGTCCGGATGATGCGTCTGTTTCTTACAGAGCCACCAACTCAGTGAAGCTCCTGAGCTGGACGTGGGTGTTTGGGGCCGTGACGCGGCAGTGGCAATCTTGAGTCTGTCATTGTATGATTTAGTAAAAGAAAAAAACAATCATTGGTGATCCTACTAAGGAAATGCAGCTCCGAGTTGGCACTGAGGAGGGTGTGTGCCCTACACTGTCCAGGGTTTGTGAAACCCTTTCATTCTGGTACAAGAGTTGGGGGTATAACTTTTATACTTGAATCTGCCTACCACGTTTACATGTCTCAATTCCTTTTTGTAAGGTGCTATTTCTGTATTTAAATCACTTTTTCTTTCCAGGTAAAGCTGCTTTCTGCTTATCTTATTGCACTGCTAGTTGTATGTAGGTGTTAATTTTATTGCTGCTTACTGCTTTTGTTTTCATACTTAGTTCTTTTTTTTTCTAATGGCTATGTTATCTATAGCTGTTTACTTGTAACTTACTACATGTAAACTTTTTTTTTAGAAAAATATTAGGCTTTATAAAATAGCAATAAAAACAAAGAGATGTTAGTTATGTTTGTTTGGTGGACTTTTTGAGTGCCGTCTTCAGGAAAACCATGACCAGGTGCAGGGTAGCCAACAAGCCCTCATAAACCCAAGTCACATCTTTTTGCTGAGACCTTCTGGTGGTTTCCAAATGCCAAAACCTACTGTGTCAGGAATACATGGGATCTTGGGAGGGTAGAGGGCCGGTGCTCCTAAACTTCGGAATGCTATCTGAGTTAGAATCTCTGGAGGTCTGGAGCTTCCACATGATACTCATGCTTATGCAATATTAAGGATACAGTGAATGCAGACCAAAGACTAAATGTTTCTCAGTCTAGCAAATGCCCACCTTTAGTTTAAAGCCAAATTCCACTGTTAACCCTCATTTTTTATTTTTTAATATATTTTTATTGATTTCAGAGAGGAAGGGAGAGGGAGAGAGAAACATCAATGACAAGAGAGAATCATTGATTGCTGCCTCCTGTACGCCTAACACTAGGGATTGAGCCTGCAACCCGGGCATGTGCCCTGACCAGGAATCAAACCTGTGACCTCTCAATTCATAGGTCAGTGCTCAACCACTGAGCCACGCTGGCCAGGTGACCTCGCTTTTTATTGATTTTAGAGAGAGAGAAAGAGAAACTTCGATGAGGGTGAGACATCGATCCGCTGCCTCTGCACACCTTCAATGGGATGGAGCCCCTGCAACCCGGGCCTGTGCCCTGACTGGGCATGGAGCCTCTGACCTCTCAGTGCATAGGACAATGCCCTACCAACTGAACCACACTGGCCAGGGCTGTTAACCCTCACTTTTAAATGAACCTAGAGCAGGCTTAATCTGATTTACACTAACTCATTATACCTCCAGAGTCGATGATGTTACATTGTTAGTCTCCCCTGCTAGATTGTGAGGTGCTAGGGAAAACAACAGCTTTAGAATCGCAATACCCAGCCCAGTGCGAGGTACCCAATAGAAGCCCCCAAAGTGGTGGACGGAGGGACTACAGGACCCCATAATAGGGCTTGCCCCTTGGCCAGAGTCAGCTTGTGCCTCCCTTGTTGTACTGTGACCTCTTCTCACATGTCACTTCTTGCCCTGTCCCTAGTCTCACAAGACATATAAACTAAACCACGGTCAATTTGTTCTTCACAGCACCAGGCTGAGGGGTTCACGGGCACATACGTAGTGGGTGTTACATTATAACAGCATCTTGCTTTATTGCAGGCATTTGCCAATATCATATGTGCCCCGTCTTGGTTGACTTTAATGGTGTGAACCATGCATTGAACGAGCAGGGCTCATGGAGGAATCGTGAAAGCAGCTCTGATCTGTCTCCCGGCATCTCTCTAAGCTTCTTTATTTAGGTCAGTGGGGGTGACCCACTCGCCCTGGAGTGAATATTAGGTTAGGTGCTATGACTTACCTGGTTACTGTAAGTCATAGAAGTTCTATAGTCATTTCAAGCCACAGAGACAGTCTCCATTCATGTGTGGGAGGAGTATTTAAAACTCCTGCCCTGGCGCTCACGTACAGAAGAGGAGGGCACGGTCCTGTGTCTCCACTGAGCACTTGTCCTTCCTCGGCGTGCCTGCCTACATTTCTAGCCCCAGCAAGGTCACAGGTTCTTGGGCAGGATGAGAACCGTCCCCGGCTGCTCTACCATCAGCCCACATCCCTGTCCTGAATCTTGATTCTTGGAGAAAAGGCCCCGCCAAACTCAGCAGCCTCTTCCTTCAGTGCTAAAGCTGCTGGCACACCCACACCCCGAGGCCCCCCAGGCCAGGGTCACACCAGGACACACCTCCATTTGCAGGAAAGCGGTGGGAGGCAAGCAGCAGCCCGCACCTCCCTTTCCTGGCTGGCTCTAAGGAGGCAGAGGTGAGAAACCACTGCATAAGCCTCCAAAGCAATCTCCACAAAATCCTTCTGCTCAGAACCTTCCAGGCCTTGAGGGTGAAGGGATTCAACAGTGATGTAATGAGTTGCAAAACTTCCTCTGCCAAGTCTTTGGGATGTAATATTTATTCTAATTTGGTGCCGGGGCCAAGCTCACATTTAACAGCCTGTGAAAACAGGTACAAACTAACATTGTCCAAGATTTGTATTCTCCTGTGTGATTGTCATGGCCCTTAATAGCTCATCTTCATAAAAATAAATTTTGGTAGCTATTAGTTTATTTTTAGTGTTAAAATCAGGTTGATTCAATGTTCCTTTTTACCTGAAAATGATTCTGAAATTTAGAAATTATACCTAAAACTAAAATAGCTTTGTTTTGTTATCTCATATCTAAGTCCTTTTTTGAAAACGGCCCACTGGCAGTCTTCAGTGTGATTGGCCCTTCTGTGCAAGCATCCAGTCTCCTCAACTGCCCTGAAAGACTCAAAAGTGGGTCATTCTGGTAAAGCAAAGTTAACCGCTTTAACAAAATTAAACAGTTAATTCTGTTTTAATAGAAGATCCATTGGAGACAAATTCATAAGAAGAATATAGTCTGTATACAAAATAAATGTAACTGGTTTGATAGTGGGCCTTTTTTTCTTCGTGCAGAAGGTACCATGAAAAGCAGTGAATTAATCCATTATATAAGCCTCTAAAACTTGTTTAGTTTTCACTGAAGAGAAAAGGAATCAATATTAGATGCTTAAGGGCAGAGACCACAGATGATTTATATCTGTATTCACAATTCCCGCCACAAAATGTGCATCCACCGACGTCATTTATTCACTCAATAAACATTTACTGTTATCATGCAAATGGAAGTAATTTTGGGGATGGGCAGCATTCCACTATTTTTATCTCTTTAATAATGGCAGATGCCCAGCCGACATGGCTCAGTGTTTGAATATCCACCTATGAACCAGGAGGTCACGGTTCCATTCCTTGTCGGTACATGCCCAGGTTGTGGGCTTGATCCCCAGTGTGGGGCGTGCAGGAGGCAGCCTATCAATGATTCTCTCTCATCATTGATTTTCTCTCTCTCTCTCTCCCTCTCCCTTCCTCTCTGAAATAAAAATACATTTTAAAAAATAAATAATGGTAGAGAATTATAGAAATGTAGTTCCCAAAAGAACCTTAAAGTCATCATATTCACTCACTTATTTTATAGAGGGGAAATCGAAGCCAGGGAGTTAAGTGACTCACCCTGGATCATACAGCTACTTAATCAGAAAGCTGAGACCAGAACACAATTTTCCCAATATCCCAGTCCTGCACACTTGTTCCTAAGTCATGCCACTTATCAAGCTAAGGTAAAATCTTTTAACAAAATGTTGAAGGAGTCGCCCATGCAAACCTACCCAATTTTTAGGATGTACTAATTTTAAGACCATAAACAGGTGTGCAAAAAGGTGTGCCTTGAATACACAGGCAGTCCTCTCTTTGCACAGCCAGCTGAAACTGTGCAAAATAATCTTAACATTTGAACTGGTTTGGGAAGATGCATATAAGATCATCAGCAGGAATGGCTGGTACAAAGGCATGGATGCATAATTGCAACTGTT